CCCCAAAACCCCAAAACCCCAAAACCCCAAAACCCCATTTCAAGAGTTAAAACTGAATTACACTTTATCAAAAATATTAAATCTTCTAGGGGTCCTTCTTGGGCTCGAAAGCTTCGTCGTGTTGAATGGCCTTGGGCTTACTGGTAGCATCAACTTATATTTCTTCTTACTATTTTGTAACTTTTTTAGGATTTTATTGATTTTGTCGCTTGTCTTTTGAGAATATGCATGCAGAAATCTCTTTTGGAGCTTTTTATTTGGACGAGATGTTTTTACAAGGGTATTCTTTTTAATTTTTTGCACTCCTTGGTAATCATAATAAATTCCTTTGAGTCTCGGAGCTAGTGATAAAATACAAATCCTACTCTTTTGATAGCTGTTATTAAGATTTATCATTTTCTGAGTAAACTTTGAATTTCTTTTAGAGCTAATTATGATCCTCAAATTTCTTACTTATAGCTAGCGCTCCTAGCAGTTCTAGCACTCCTAGTGCTTCTCACAGATCTGGGTCTACTTCTTGAATTCTTAAGAGCTACTCGTTACTTCCTAATCTTACTCTTATTTATAATTACTCTGAAAGAACTCTCTATGGTTCCTTTCACTAAACTCCTTCTGCTTCGGACACCCATTCACATCATATTTCAGCTGAGCATCAAAATTATTCTCTGTATGAAGTGTGCTTCTCAATGTCGAAAGTGCTTCTTTCTCTTTCCTGCTAAGCTGTTCAATAATCTTCTTATTCCTGTTAACCACTTCCCTATTTATCCCTAATCCTTCCTGCATAATCTAGTTTTGTTCTGTGTATTGTTTTCTTTCTTCTCAGATTCTTGGCCACCAGTTGTTGTCTATGGGATAATGGAGGGGGTACCTCTCTTCAAGCTCTACAAGGTCTTTTACTTGGCGATTTTTCCAGTAGATTCCTTGCCTGACATCGCTGATGCTTTTTAGAAGTTCTTTATTTGGCATTCATGTTTTGTTCAGTAGTAGCCTAGATTTGAATATATTTAAAGGGGTGAGTTACTTTGAGGAGATTCTTATTTTCTTGCCTTCAGTACTTGTTTGTTGTGGTCCCGGAGTTCTCGTAATGTGGAAGCTCGTTGTTTTGCGCTTAGTAGCATTGAGGATTTTTGGGTGAAATATACATCAAGGTGATCCCATGCCTAAAGGTTTAGGTAGAATCTTACATCTGACCGGATTGTGGAACGAAAAACCTGGGTTTTCATCTTTTGATCCACCCTATTGCGGCTTTTTATATCATCGTTCTCGAATTTATCTATTCGATTTTTTATCTTTTTGATCTATAAAGTTCGGTTAGGCTTAAATACTTCTAGTTCAGTATTTTTAAGCTCTCTTGTAGTCTTGAGCATAAGATATTATTTTTATTTCAATAAATATAAGCAATAAGGGGTTTTGGGGTTTTGGGGTTTTGGGGTTTTGGGG